CAAACAGTTAGCAATTAAGTTCTGTGAACATGTTTCTGTTTTCTAGTGATGGTTTTAACTATGTTATTGATTTTCCTCTTTTTTTACATTCATAATTCCTGTTTTTTGTGAGCTGATAATAATAATAATAATAATATAGAAATTTATATAGCGCCTTTTGCCAAAGGATACAAGGCGCTTTGAAAAGGTTTATATTAGAGGAAGAGGATTATTTAGGAAATAAATGTGCTTTTAAGAGTTTTTTGAAGACTTCAGTACTACAAGCATTTCGGATGGAAATAGGAAGATTATTCCACAGTTTTGGAGCAGAGGAAGAGAAAGATTTATCACCAGCAAGTGTGTTGGATTTGGGAACAGATAAACAGGAACCGGAAACAGAACGGAGAGAATATGTAGAGGTTAAGAAAATCAACAGGCAGGAGATATAACTAGGATTGGAGGACTGATAAGTCATTGAAGCTTTATATATTTGTTATAGTTGATGCTTTGCTGGATAAACAACTTCTTAATATTAAAAATTAAAAACACCATGTAATCCAATAACGTTATTTGAATTGATTTGTAAATACATTTTTTGCTTACTTTTAATTAAATTTACAATAATAATTGAATTACTAAGGCTTGCATATATTGAATGTTTGCGGATCAACACATTGTGGTAAATGCTTATTATTTATATTAGAAGGAATATTAAAAACAAGTGTTTAGCTACGCATCTAGATAATTTGTTAGAAAGAAAAAACAAATATTCGTAACAGATTATTGTAGTAGGCTTAGTAGCATAGCCACTTAGCAGAAATAACTTTCATTAGCTTTTAGTGTTCAACTTCAATCATCTATCCAGACTAATCACCCAAACATAATAAATTATAGATAATGTAATTAGAGGTTTTTGGGGAAAAAAAGAAGTAGACTTCTTGGGATTTCAATAAGGGGTTGATAGTGTGGAAAACACTCTTTTAACCATTACACCAAACTGTTTTCACATTTATTACTTTGAGAGTAATGGTCATGTTTGTTTACACTTTACCGACAAGCCCGTATAACCACACACACACGCGTCTAATACGGCAAGCAGCAATACAAGTTTTTCGATCATTATGTCCTTGACCTTCGATCCCAACCCTTCAAAATTTAGTCACTTACAGATTTTTGGTAAGGAACACTGTAGACAAGTTTGACAAGTTTCTAAAAAAATCTGTTTCAAAAAATCGGTTTTTTTGTTGTTGATTGTGACCTTGACCTTTAACCCTTACTCTTCAACATTCAACTACTTTTGAGATATTTGTTCTGGGAACATTGTGACAAAGTTTGACAAATTTGTGATCTATGGGCTGTAGACAAATTTTTAAAAAATGTTTTTCGTTTATTGTGATCTTGACCTTTGACCATGGCTCTTCAAAATTTAATCAGCTCTAGACCTTGGTAAATGAACATTGTGGAATTTCTGATAAAAAAAACTATGGGTGTAGGCTGTTTACAACAAATATGTCGACAGACAAATAAATAAATAAATAAACAGGGTCAAAAACA